CATTAGCCAGTTATAACGAACCCCAAGAAGTGCACCACTCGAGGTCCGAACCCGTGACCTGTTGATTCAATGTCCAGCGCATTAACATAAACCCTGGTGATGCACCAGCTGGAGTTTGGATGGCTAATAAGTCACAAATGATCCCTTAATTATCCCCTGCACTTCACTTCCCGTCAACATTATCTGGTCGCATCGGTAAAACATTTGTGGAAATCCCGCTTGGTGAAGGCATATGTAGTAACAATGGATTAGAACGCTTTAAAGGTGTGTGCTGACTTGTTTTTCGGATGGTGAGGAACAATCTGGGTTGCCGGTTGTAGATAGTTCTGACTCCTCGGAGCGAAACGGGCAGGCAATTCATGCTCTACGATGACAGTTCCCCTGTTTGAATAATCCTACCTCCAGCTCTGGACACGTTCTTTAACCACCGAAAACGTGTCGCAGAAGGTTTCCTTCCACAGAAAAGCAGCTAATGTTTAGATGAGAAGTTAATTTCCCTCAGAACTATTCAAGTGCCTTTGCACCAGATTCATCCCCTAAGGAGACAATCTTTCGTCAAGCAGAAATTACATCGTTATAAAAAAAGTGTTGCCTACGTTTCTTGGTGTCTACTTGAATTGCCCTTTTAGTGAGGCATAGCATGTGATTATTGTGGCATTTTATTAGCTTCGGGGGTCGGCAGTAAAATAAAAAATGGCCTTAACATGAACATACACATTTAGATTAATAGTATGTTCGAAAATCATATGGTCATACCTTGAATAGACAGGTACCCATGCTCCTCTTTTCCTCCTATATGCCTACCGTCTGAATCAACAAGTGACATTGCAAATTATGCCCGCTGTGTCGGTGGACAGAGTCCCTCATGTGACTATTAATTGTAATTAATCATCACAGTCCAACGTTCTTCGGCGCCCTAATGGCGCCTTCGTGATGACTCATGTCCCACCAAGTTGGCACGACTTCGGAATGTAGTACGTGTTTGTGTTCAGGTCTCGACGATCAATCATTGAGGGAAATGGGTGAAGCAAAGTAAAAAGTTGTCAAATGAACGTTTGCAGACATCAGGCCCTACAATAAATCAACTCTCAGCTCATAAAAGTACAAAATTGTCTCAGATGTATTCCGTTTCAAAAGGTGTTGAGAAGTTCAAACTTTAATTTCCAACCTGTCGGTGGACTTTGCAATCAGCAAGGGAGTATCAGGCCGCATCTTCCGAACTCGGTGACGACCCTGGTGACCTCTGCAATGTCCCCCCTCCCTAATGGACCTTCCACTCAAGAGAGGACGTTTTTTCCCCTAAACCCCATACCGCATTAGATCCTCCCCCCGCAAAAACGACAGTTTTTTTCTTCAAAAATTCTTAAGGAGTTTTTTCACTGTCTGCCCAAAACGATGTACCACCTCATGGCTCGGGACAATTGGCCTCGCCAATAAACTGAGATAGTGCTAATACAATAGCAGTCTACCTATATCCCTTAAATACACTGATACTGAATGCAAAATTCTCCGTAGTTCGAATTGAAAAAAAAGAAAGTTATACTTTTGCTCAAAAAGGAGTTTTATCGATCCAGCGTCATATTATCGTAGTTCAAAGGCTCAAGGCACAGTAGTCAGTCGTCCAATAGCATTCAATGGGAGCGACCTGCAACGACTTCGTACCACGGCTTTTGCTCCCCCTGGTTTGTAAGGCAAGAGGGCTAGGCTATACTATGGCGCACGCAGACAGGTTCGCCAGCCCTGCAAGCCACTGCGCCCATCTCGCGTCAGATGATATTTTTGAAGGTTAGTCTCCGACATTTTCAGCAAAACTTGCTCGATTCACTGAGACCAAGGGATAATGTAATCAAACAATCAAAATCTAGAGGTTTGCATGAAATCCGCCTCTCTTTTAGAGACAGGTCTAAGTTTAACTTCTGGATTTCCGTTTCTTGAAGTAGCGTGCAAGGAAAGGGAGTACAGAGTGCTGATATGCCGATGTACGACAGCATATTTGTCAGAAACTTTGGCACATAATACGAGAAGACTTCCCAGCCATTATTGCAGATTAAAGTGCATGACCAACCTCGTAAAAAATGCGATCAGCTATTTGCTTGACCGTTGTTATGCGGGTTGCGCTTCCATTACAAATGCGGGAGTTTGGCGGTAGGCGTAGATGCAGATTCAGGCACGAGCAACCCTAGAGCCCTTATAGAGATTTCACTGAGTGGCAGTTGAATCAGGCATGCACAACCTTCCGGCGGCGGCCTGCGCCTGATCCCGCCTCCAGTCTTTGTCTTGGCCCCAGGCTGATTTAGATGAGGGAATTGTTAGGACGGACCTAACGAACAGCCTTAACAAGCAGTTAGCTTGCAAGCGCTAGCCGCACTCATGGCAGGCTATCGATCGGCCTATACGAGGCGAACACAGACTTTTAATAAATCAATCAATCGAGTATTTGAAATTCAAGTTGCAGTCAGCTGTGAGTCACCAGCCAAGCC